AACGAGGTAGGTTGCATCCCTGCTCTTTGTGTAGCCTATTTCAAAAAGTATTTGTTCATCAAAACTTCTGGATTTCTTCTCTGGATGTAAACAAATGGATCGTGGACTTTAACGAACGGAACTAGATCTAGATCTACAAGATCACCAATAACTGAATTTGGAGGATGCCTAACTCTAACCTAAAAATGGTTTAAATTATCGCATGCGCGTTAAATTTTAGTTTACACATATGGGGACAGACTTACCTGACCTGATCCAAAACTAGATCTAGACTAGATCTAGATCTAGATTATATTTGCATGTCATGCTCTAGGCCAAGAAGATAACAACATCAAAAACGCACACACTGAACCGTCACTTGGTTCGCCTCAGCCTTTGCCCTTTGTTTACAAACAACCTCAGCACTCAGCAGCACAGGCCAGGAGAAGAAAATTATTGGTAAGGCTTAGCTAGGTCACAGAAATCTCTCAAGTAATAAAACAAATATAAATATTTTAAAACTATACTACATGTATATTTTAATATGATAATTTTGTTTGTATAGATCCAGTAGTGTTATGACAAACACTTTCTTTAAACAAAAAACAGTTTCTAATCAAAACCGTATTTTATCCCAGAGACAAGGTCAAAGCGCAGTTGCACAACAAACAGAAAGTAGGCCTGCCTTGCCTAGAACAGAGCACCTTCACCTCACTCCTCACTCATTCAAGCTCTCAATAACATTCAACATGGCGCTTCACAGACTTTCGAGTGCGCTGATTCGTAACGTTCCCCGCATCGAAGCCAGTGTGGTAGCCCCAGCTGCTGGATATCATAAAAATGTAGGTTTTATAAATTATATTGGAGAAGATCGATCATTGCAGGACAGTCGGTAACGTCAAAGCTTGCTGATGAAAGTCCCAAACACCAATCAGTCTGAGGAGTCTGACTCTTCTGTGATTTGCTGTGTAATCCATCGTGTTCAGAGTTCTGAATGAAAATGCAAAGTCATTGTTGACATGTTTCACGCACTGCACTGTGTCCTGCATTAGGCCTACCCATGTGGTATTTTGAAACTGAAATTGTGCAGTTCATACTCATACGGTCATTTGAGATTTGAAAAGGAAGAGGCAAGCCTACATAGATAGACAGCGAGACTGCTAGGCTAGCCGCACTTACTGCTTGGCTACTTTAAAAGTACAGCTAGACTCTAGATAGCTGAACTACCTAGCCGTATTTAGATCTAGATCTAGAATCTATATGATGGCTAGACTGACCAAAAATATGAGACCGGCGCTATATTCTCCGAACGTTCGGGAAAATAAAGCTGGGCACTATTTCTCCGAACACTATGAAATCACATCCTTTGGTCATCCTTTCCCGCAAATTTCAGATATTTTATAGATCTAGATCTATAGTATAGGCCTAGAGTAAAATTACCGGTTCGGTCAAAATAAGGACGAAAACAGGCACGTCGACTTTAAAGCTTTATTATATCTCCTATCTGCCTTGCCCTAGAGACAAACCGAAACCAGAGGAAGTTCTGTGATTGGATGACCCCAGGAATTACCTGTATCAGCTTGTTCTCATATTTGAGGCCCTTACTGGGTGCAAAAGTGACGCCCGATTTATTTACGAGTTCGGACACATTTTTTTTTTGTTCTCTCATGGATTCGGGCAGTATTTTGACATTCGGTCATTTTCAGTTATTATCACATTTATTTCTTTGCAAGCTTAAATGATTTTTAATGCTTGTTATCAACACTTGGACACAATTTGATAGTTTGTCTAAAGTGGTTTTCACCATTTATAGCTATCTTAATGAGTATGTATCTGATTCTGACCCACTCTACTACGTGGTATCTGACTCTACTACACTGGCATCTGGCTCACTCAACTACACTGGTATCTGACTCTGCTACTCTGCTGATATCTGACTGTATTACACGCTGGTATCTGACTTTACTACCCTGGTGTCTGACTGAGCTAATATGCTGTATCTGACTCTACTATTATTTAAATTAGGCACAAATTCTTGATTCTTAAAAATATATAACCATTGGCACTATATTACCTTTATGTGCCCGAAGGATGAGAAACTACGGATTTTATGTTATTACAATCTGGGCACCCCCCCCTTTGGGCAAAAACGGCGAGGCTGACCTGCAAATTCTCTTTCATCCTTGATGGGGCCTCATATGCAAATAACTCTCAGCTTTCAGAGTTTACCAAAACGAGGAATCTAGACAGGCTCCTTCATCCACAACCAATGTTAACTCTTCCAGGGAAAGAGCTTCACGCTGTTTTGCTCAGTTGATGAAGAAAAAGCTGTCTTAAGGACTATTTTTAGCAAAATATCGCCGTAACTGTTGTTTCAACGAAAGTAAGGGAGGTTGCTTTAGGTCTGTGTGCCACTCTTTTGAGGCTAGTTTTAAACGATCTTTTTGTACTCCAGTGCCCGACAGCTAAAAAAAAAACGTGCTGCCCGACCCGGTACGATTACTCTACCAAAGATTGTTGGTATACAATATGGTTCAATCGGTCCAAAAAATGTCCGCAGTAAATATTTATATATAAAGAAATGCTACAGTTCCAAACAGTTTTTCGCTAGAGATATATAATGACGTGTTGCCTATGAAGGGTGCTGCTCTTAAAAACTTAATGTGTTGTGTTCACTCGTGTGCGATCTACGGAGGGTATTGATAACGACACAAAATAGAACTAGCATGCGTTTGTCGCGGCCGCGACCAATCAATCGTGGCTCGATTTTTTGGCATTTTTTGGTCCCCGAATCGGGGAATAAAAGTCAAATTAAAAAAAGAAAAAGAAAAAAAAAGAAACCGAACCTCTTTACTTTTGAAAGAAAGTTCACCTAGCTTCACTTCGTCTCTTTCTCACTTGTTGTAGCAATGCCCACCGAGCGCGTTTTGTTCTGCCGATTTTTGGCCCCCGCAGCGGGGGTGTTTAATGGGACGCACTAATGCAATGGTTGTTGTCTTCAACTCGCTCTCACGCCGCTTCTCGTGAATGGATATGAATGAAACTTGGCAGCCAATCAGAAAAGAGGTCAATCTCGTAGTATGCAGTTTGACAACATTGTACCCATCCTAGAAGCAGTCGAAAACGTTTGCGAAAGTGGTTGATGTGGTGCGCTTTGAAGATTTTTCGGAGCTGTGATTTGTCAAACTGACTGATACGTTGTACACCATTTTTCTTTATTCCCTTAAAATTCAAGCTTCTGTGTTTAGCGGTTTTGGCGTTGTAATCTTTAAAAATGTGGGAGTAACTAAGGGAAAAAGCGACATTGCCTTTGCGCGTACTGGGTGAATGCCCTGCGGCTGGGAAATTTCCACTGAGCGACGTCATCAGCCATCGGTCGCCTCGGGCGCTACAAACGAGGCCCCGCTTATGTGAACCGGAAAGGGGGGGAAGGATACTTGAAAACTAAACGGGGGCCTTGATAACTTGCGTTTTTGTTGCATTTTAGTCACAATACAATAGATGTAGTCATTTTTATTTGCTTCTTTGCATGACAGAAGAATAGAAACAGAAAAGCAAACATCTTGAGAAGTGATATGACATTGTGTTTGCGTAATGAAAGCCTATTCCCCCCTCTTGGGAAAGCACACACTTGGACTCGTCCTGTGTGCTCAGTTTGTAAAAGTGAGGCATTAAGATTGTTATTAAAGAGTATGGTACTTATTTAGTCCAGTCTGGGAAGATAGTCCCGTTTATACATTGTTATCGTTCAGGCGTGCGTGCGTGCGTGAGTGCGCGCGCGTGCATGTGTGTGTGTGTGTGTGCGCGAGCGTGAGAGAGAGAGAGAGGGGGGGGGGGGTGTAAATATGTTACATTTATTGTATGAGTTGTAGCCTACACATGCGAAATATTCCCATGACTTGTAAACTATATTCTGAACGCATCTTAATCTACCACACAATAGGGCACTGTCGAACAATGGAATATACACAGAGACGATCTTATTTTCTATAACAAAGTATGCATGCTTTTACTAGTACAGAACTGGATTAATTAGACTAATAAATCCAGCTCTCTACTTACATTTTTGTGACAAATTGATCCAGAGCATAGCTTGGCAAGGAAGAACCTTTTATGTTGCCAAGTTTCATTCAAATATCATGACTTTGGGAGAACATATGACTGATAATCTTTGTAAATCTGTAAAGAACGCCACTTTTTTACCTGTTAATGTCTTTACAACTCAAAAAGTATGACAGATATTAAAAATCTGACTGCATGACTAGATTCTGCATTTAAAAATGTACTAGACTGCCAAGTTTCATTTACATATTCCAAGAAATAGGCGAGCTATGACAAATATTGTTTCAAAACGCACCGAAAACCGCCACATTTTTACCTATAAACGTCTTCATAACTCAAAAAATAGGATAGCTATGAAAAATCTGAAAGCAGGACTAGATTCTGCACTAGAAAATGTACTGGGTTGCCAAGTTTCTTTTAAATACTCTGAGAAATGAGTGAGTTATGACGAATATTGTCTCAAAACTCACCAAAGAACGTCCCATATTTTGGGGGTTTTTCATTATATAAAAGTGTACCAGAAATTAATTGATTAAAAAATCCGTAACTTTTTTGTTTACTGATGGATTTTTAAAATTCAAAAAGTTCCATGCTCAGTGAAGATAAAGCTACAAAATGCACCTATTTGCAAACACTTTCTGGCACAGTTTGACAGATGCACGATTATTTAGAATATCTCTGTTTGGCCTATTCCAACTGCATATTTTGACTTTTGCCACTAAATGTGTAAGGTGATGTGGCTACTCAGTCAAATGCTAAAACATCTAGTTGGACAAGTAGACCAGACAACTAAGTTACAACTAACCCCAACCTGCAAAAATGTCATCATGCTGCTAATCATTCTACAGAGGATAACCTGCGGCACTGATACTGATGCTGCTGTTACAGTCAGGGTGACTCGTCCTTATATCTAAATAGGTCATTAAAGAGTCAGTCCGCGCTCTTGGACTTGTCCTTGAATTTTAAAAAAAGAAGGCATGGCAGTGATCAAGTGTACCAGAATGGGGCACATACATGGGGTGGGGGGGGGCACTGCAACTAGTTGCTGCAGTTTGAAAAGTGGCACCCTCCTGCTGTTGTAGAATGTCTGTCCTTATAATTTGTTATGAACTCAAGACAGCTCCCCCTGGATAAAGATGATGCAATGAGCTGAATTTTTGCACTAGAATAAAATCTGGAATGATGCACAAGAAACATTAAAAGTTAGCTATGGCAAAGAAGCTCAAGATCGCTACCAGCTGATTGGAAGGTCACCATCTTTCACTGTGAAATAATCCTGGGATTTTGTTGTTGTTTTGTTTTTTGGGGGGAAGGGGTTGAGTTTGATAATTTTACCTTCTGTAGAGTTTATAATAGTTGTCAAATTGACTGAAATGATAGTCAGGATGCTGTGTATTAGCAACTTTTGTGGAAGAATGAACCAATAACACTAGTTAGTAGAATATATGTTGTGGAATTTTATAGTTAATAAAAAACTTTCTTTTTTTCAGGTGATTGACCATTATGAAAACCCGAGAAACGTTGGGTCCTTAGACAAAGAGGACAAAAAAGTTGGCACAGGACTGGTGGGGGCCCCTGCGTGTGGAGATGTGATGAAGTTGCAGGTTAGCATTGGGGTTTTTTTTCAAGGGGGGGGGGGGGGGGAGGGGGGATGTTGCAGGTTGTCAGTACACACACTCTGGTGTGGCCTGCTCATTCTACTTCTTTGTTTCTCCTTTTGTGCAGTGGCGAAATATGCTTTCGTTGCGCAAACTTCTCATAAACTACCATTAACCCTTACCAGCACCGGGCTAGTTTTAGCCCCCACATAGTGTGCTTACTAGACTTTAAACTCCTTTGCCTCTTTAGGCCCAGCCAACACTGAAGATTGTGTGTGTAATTATTTTTCGCAAACATTTTTTTAAAAGTTCTCTACTGCGTTTATTTGAATCTTTAGAAGATAACATATAATGTATTTTTCAGAGGCAATTTGGTTACAGTAAAAATATCCAGCTGGGTTTGGGGTTGTCAGGCTCCTGTGAGGGTAGCTTCTGGGACTGAGCCTGAGGGATCGAGAACTTGTGAGAAAAATATGCGAGGTTGTAAGTTAAGGGTTAAAATATAATAGCTTGAACTTCATGTTTGTATAAAGTGACAGTGTTAAAGTTGCATGGATATGATTATATGTCTACACTTGACGCCTGTCTTTTGCTACTATTTGTTTTTATATTATATTCTTCAAGAAATATACCATGTATGTATGTGTATGAGGATGTTCTTTTCTCATTTATCCGATGAGACTTAACAAGTTCTGAATTATATTTTATTCTTACCATCTAAGCCATGCGGCTTATGTTTGATCAACTGGAATTAATCTTCCTGCTTACATTTTTCCCAACCTGTACAGTTGCATGTTATGATTGTTAATGTCTTGTCTTGCTTTCTTCAGATCAAGGTTGATGATGATGGGAAGATCGTTGATGCAAAGTTCAAGACATTTGGTTGTGGTTCTGCCATTGCATCTAGTTCTCTTGCTACAGAATGGGTGAAGGGTAAAACGGTAAGTTGAACATTCGTTTTGGGGCTTTTCCTGGCAGAGATTATGAAACAAAGTGAAGGGAGCAGTGTAAGTTGTGTTTTTGTTATAATGTTTTTGAAGATTCTTTTAGTTACAGTGTATATTTGCTGTGGCTGTCTCTTGTTAACACACTGTGATACGGCTAAATAAGACAGAGGAATGGGACGGTCTTTGTAGCTTTAATGGCTATGTTAAAGATGTCCCCCTGTTATGTGCATATTTTCAATTTAGTGAATGTGTAGCGGAACGTGTATTAGACATGCTTCTGCTGTGTGATTGTCAAATGAACTTGTTGTGAAGTTGTGTGAACTGTCGGAAATGGTAGAAATTGTATTGTGCTGTGGAAAGTCGCTCTTACTTTCTAAGAATGCACTGTAGTTTTCACTTGAATTGAACTCAGTATGAATTGCTAAAAATGAACTACTGCCCTGTGGGTGGTTGGCAGGTTTTCTGATGTGGCTTGTTCCTTCTTTCCTATCAGACATAGAATCTGTAAATTGGACTTTTGCTGTCGACCTCGACTTTTTCTCCCCTGATTATGGCCAAGATGGTTGGAGCACTTTGGGTTTTCATTTTGCTTATGACTTATGGTAACCTGTGTAGAGAAGGTGCTTTGTGTAAAAAAAGGGGGTGTTGGGTCTAATAGGAATCGTAATGATCACTTTCTTCTGTGTCTCTTTCCGCATTGTCTAAAAAAATTGTGGTAATTGATTGCCACTATGCTATGATAATTTGAATGTAGACTCTAATTGAACCGTCCTAACAGGGAGGTTAAATAAAGTTAAAAATCAATGATGTCATGACTGTACTAACCAAGCAGGATGGGGATTGAGGAAGCACATTGTCCCTGTGGTGAGGTCTTGACCCATTTGTGAAATTATTGACATTACCAAGCAGTTTCTCTCATTTTCTTTTATTTTGTTGACAAAAATATTTTTAATGAGCCTTGTTCATAACGAACCAAGCATAAGGTAACAACCTTGCTAGGGGGTGGTTGAAGGGCACCACTGGTAGGTCCTTCTTCTTTTCTTTCCTCTCTGTTATTTCTGTATGTCCGTCTTACTTTTTCCCTTAACTCTCTATGACTTGTTATTGTGTCGATGTGCTTCCTTTACACAAATAAACAACCTCCCATTGTGCTTTAATTGTGTTTTGTTCTCGCATTTCACAGATGGACGAAGCTTTGAAAATCAAGAATACTGAGATTGCTAAAGAACTTTCGCTGCCTCCTGTGAAATTGCATTGCTCAAGTAAGATCACTGTTTATACTGTTCTTTTCATGTGTAGTAAAACCCATTGGGGGGGGGGGGGGGGGGGGTTTAACTTTTGTCATGTGGGACAAAAATTCAATGCAACATGAGATTGTGGGTGCAAGGGTTTGTTGCTCAGATTGGTCCAACATTGTGTCCTTGGGAAAGGCACTGGACACATTATTTTCCCACTGGCTCTGTCCTATCGGATGTGGACATTAAATTCAGAAGTCCCGCTCCATCATAATTTACAGTGTTGCAAGTGTGGTAAAGTAAACTGTTTTGCGCAAGTTTTTCAAAAGCAAATTTGAGTTATCCCACTTGTGAAAGTTTCAATTTTATTTTGAGATGCCTCTATTGTTATTGTAAAGTTTGTCATTGAATTTCTTTGTTTCCCAGTCTGTTGAACTCTCCATATCTTTGAAATTCAGTGGCATTTTCAGTGTTATGAGACTCACACTCACACTAAGTGCAGAATTCAGGCTATGGTACTTGTACATTGCTGACAATTGAGTTGATCATTTGAGTACAGTTTTATTTAAACCCAGGGTTGTTCACAGTCATAGAGTATATCTTATAGTTTGCCTCAGGTCAGTCACTTGTTCTAAAAAGAACAGTGGGAAGACTAATGTATATTTCAAGGTTATGACAACATTGGTGTTTATGAATACGGTCGAATCTGCTCTAACGTCCAACTGTCCAAGACAATCATCAGTACAAACGACTACTTTCCCCCCCTTGCATTTAATAAAAATTCCATGATGACACTGCCAGCTAACCTGTCATAGTGCAGATTGTACCACATCTTATCTATTTTCTATTGCTGTTATTGCTGACACTGTTCTCCATTTCATAACAATACAATCTAGCATGCACATACAGTACATGCACATGGCAATATGATTTTTTAACGCTCGAAGCGTAAACAATAGGCAAATAACCAAAAGAAGTAACAATAGAGTGTAAATTTAAGTAAACAGAAATGCAAATTTTCATTTGTTAAAGTAGAGAGCGCAGGTGGGTGTGATGGGTGTAGAGTGTAGACCAACAAATTTTCTACAGAGCCGAGGGCAGTGGTGAGGTCAGGGACATGTTATTGCATACCTTGCAGTGGTGATCAGGGATAGATGAGGTCTGCACACTTAAAATTGCATAGTCTGCTGTCGCTGGAAGGTCCATATACTAAACAGACAGCACACTATGCACAGTTTGCATGTGCTCTGCAAAGTTAGGTTGAGGTGAAGTTATAGAGAGTGGACTGTGACAGAGCAAAAGATACGAAATGGTTTTTTTGGTCAAGGAAAAAACAGCTGATCCTAGAAAAGGTTGATTATAAAAAAGCCAATGTCAAAAACCGAAATCTGACCTGGGGGGGGGGGGGGGGGGGGGGCATCGTTCATGAAAAACTTTGACCCAATAGTCCAACTGTATTTATCTCCATTGATGTAACATTTGTACATGCTTGGCTTCGTGAAATTAAGACATAACAAAAAGATATCTGTATCCCGCCTATTTTGCTATATGTGTGCTGGACTGTGGTTGCAAATTCCTTTATTTGTGTCTTTTATTTATTAAAATGGAAGATAACACACTTAAATGATCCTTTGTTAGAAGAAATTGACTTTTGGAGGATAGGAGGGATCTCCAGACTTCCTCACCATTTTCAAATTCCCAGAGATATTGCTATTAATAGGATTTTTTTTTTTCCTTCTCTGTATTCCTCAGTGTTGGCTGAAGATGCTATCAAGGCAGCCCTCCAGGACTACAAGATTAAGAACCAGGGAACCGACCCACCTGGCGAGAAGACTGCCGTTTCTAATTAGCTTGTGGCAAGCTCAGATCACAACGAGATATTATTTTGACTATTATTATTATTTGTTGGGTGTTAGATTTCATCTATCTGAGAACTTGCCTCATATATTTGAATTGTAAAGAGATCCACAAGTAATTTTTATTCAGATGAACTGTTCCTGCACATATGTACTCTGGTAAGGTTTGCACAGGCCTCAATACTATTTCTCAATAAATATCTACCCTGTGGTAGTACGTATAGCAAGCTGTTTTTTGTTTTGGAATGGATTGAAATGTGATCTGTTGTTTCAAGTGTGTTCCTGATCGACGTACATTGTTGTTTGGTCTGGAGGTTGCACAATCTGGAATGTTGTTGGAAGCTGGATAGGTACTTTGATTGGATGGGGTAGGGGATGAACAATTAAAATTATCTGTTTTGGTTGGGGGGGAGGGGGGGGTTCAATTTATGGTTGGTACTCCCCTTCATGTTTGAGAAGCATGTTAATTTGTGGGTTGCATTTTGCTTTTTATCTACTCTTCTTTGTTTTGCAACGGGGAAGATATTTGACTCAAAAGCTAAATGTAGGGGATTTTTTGTCATTGCACCTTTAAGTTGGTGAACACTTTGAACAGGGGAAAGATATGGTGTTTTCCAGGAATACATTTTGGCAGAACATATGGTTGTGTAAATAATTATTTTTTTCTGTAAATAAAGTTAGTTCACAAAAAAGAAATGTCTTCTTTTTTTCAGTTATTTATTTTTGATTTTGGTATTGCGAGGTTGGGGGGGGGGTGTTGTTTGTTTGTTTTTTGATGATGTCACTCTGCCATTTGTCTTTTCTTGGGAAGTGGGCGATTGGCGGGTGCTCTGGTGTGGTTTGCTGCTTCTTCTTTCCTATCAAACATCTATTGTCCTTATCTCCCCTTCTTCTTTTTATATTTGTTACTCTCTTGTAACACCTCTAATCTTCTGGCGCTTATATGACCTTATGCAGTTGCGAGCACCGTAAAACCTCTACTAAAACTAAAACTAAACTTTTCTTGGGAACTCTGTTTTCTCATTGTAATATAATATGTTCTTCATCTTTAACACTTTGCCGCCTCATCTCGCCAATTGGCGATGTTTACCACCCAGTCTTTGGATTTTCCCCAAAATATGATGGCAAAGTGTTAAACAGATTGCACACCAATTGCTTGGGTTTCGTTCCAGTATTTACTCTTAAAGTTAAAGATGACGGGAAAAAACTGTCATCTTCAAAATGAAAGTTGATAAACTATGATGATGTTGAATGTCAGTGGGAGTTGTTGCAAAAATAATTCACACTCAGTTCAGTGCTCGTTAGAATTATGGATATATATATATATATATTCTTTCTTTGCTGTGCCTGTATCTACTGGTCGCGGCCCTTTGCTTTGTTCCTCATTTTGTCATGAGTAACATGTCCTCCGTTTATGTGTGGTTGGATGGTACCTCTGTTAGGCTAGCATAGACTGCGTTTGTTGCCATTTTTTTGTCCAAAAGTTGCCATTTTTTTGTCAAAAAGTTGCCACAAAAAGTTGCAAAAGTTGCCATAAATTTTCAAGTTTTCAACTCTCTGTGACAACGTATAGCAATATGTTAGTAGAGATAACAATCTAAAGCACCAGAATTTCTTGTGCTCACTTTTATGCATCCAGAATATCATTTGTAGTCATCCAGAGTGTAAAAACGTGAAAAATAAAGGTTTCACAACAGAATGAAACCAAAGTTTGAATAGCCCGGATAAGTAACCACAAAAATTTACAAATTTAATTAGGGCTCGTGTCCACCTATCCGAAGATTGGCTGTTTTTACCCCAACCGTGTGTAATTTTTTTTTAAGTAGGACTACAGGATATTATTACAGTGGAGTCCACTTATAACGAGTCCGGAAAAAACGAGAAGTCTGTTATAAAGACATTATTCTAAAACCCCGTTTTTTTCTCCTCTTTACCTTTGTAAATAAAATACTGATATAGCGCTATCAGACAAACATGAGAGTCGGTTATGGCGGAATATTGCTGCTGCTGTGCACAGTGCATAGGCCAATTATACATAAAACGTAAAACCTCGCCAGTTGAGAAATTTGTTGGTAATCTTGCGAAGCAAAGAAAAGGAGAGCCCATGTGCGTCAATAATGAAAGCCGGAGTAACTGAGTAGGGATGGTGTGGCATGCGCAGACAAGCAGAACGCATCGTGTGATGTGTCAGGGTAAGCCTAGTGTAGATTATCAAGGCCTACCATGCCTCTCACTTCTCCGATGCGGGGATGGAGAGGTTACAGCAATGTGATGAACGGAGCGAATGTGTGACGTGCGCAAGCAGACAGAATGCACCACAGGGTGTGGTGGGGTGGTGGAAAACACAGCGGGTGAGTTAGCCCGGAGCCCTTCCCTTCTGATCTCCAACGCCAAGCTGTCAGTCCACATCGCTAGATCTAGCGCTAGAGAAAGAAACCTGATTCGATTTTTGATCAAGTAAGACCTAGAGGTCATGTTGAAACAAAATCGTCATCAGGGGAGATAGCAAAAGGAAAAACAGAACACCAAACTCATAGATTAGGCGTACTTTACAGTTTCCCTTGAACTTATTGGATCCCTCATAGCGAGAATCCTGCTATAACGGACATTTTGGTCCCCTCCCTCTCGTTATAACAGGATTCCACTGTACATGTAAATTATGTCATGTAAAGTACTTATATTCTCTGCATGAAAATAGATATACATGGACATCTTAAAACTTATCAAAATACATGTCTAATATGTTATGAAGTAGCTTTGTTGTTTTGTCTTTCTTGAAAAATGCAAAAATCCCTGCTGCGATTCTCGGACCCAAAAATGCTAAAAATCGCGGCCGCGACAAACGCAGATGCTAACATAGGATCTACAGTGGAAACCTGATATTACAGGGATGGTGGAACCAGAGAAAAAGTCCTGTTGTTATATCAGTATCGGGTCCCTTTCAGAAATACAAGGGAAGAAAGCATTTGTGGACTAATACAGCTGTATATATTCATGGGTAGTTACCCGTGCCACAAGTACCCACCAACAGCATACTGCAGCCCTCTCTAGTGGCCATGTGGCAGGCCTCCGCATGACATTACGCATGTGTGTAGCTTGGCTTAGGGCTAGATTGAAGACTGCAGCACACCGCAGTCCTCTCTCGCTTCACCCGCTGGGTGTGCTTGCAGTGGCGTGGCTTGCATGGGCTTGCTCCATATCTCTCTCTCTCTCTCTCTCTCTCTCTCTCTCTCTCTCTCTCTCTCTCTCTCTCTCTCTCTCTCTCTCTCTCTCTCTCTCTCTCTCTCTTTTTACACCTTGTTAACAAACTGTTGTCCCTGCTATAACCGATTGGGCTCTGATGAGGCCCTGTTATTGCCGATAACTTTTAATAAAGACGAAGAGTAGGATTTTTAAAATCCCTGTTATTATCGGATACATGTTATTACCGGGCCTGTCATGTATGGTTTCCCACTATAACTGTTTTATTTCCCTCTGTTTCTGGTGTTCCCATCCATCTGCCTTGCAGTTGAAACCTGATATAACAGTAACAGGGATGGTAGGACTAGAGAAAAAGTCCTATTGTATCGGATCCCTGTTATATCAGAAATGCAAGGGAAGCAAGCATTTGTGGCCTTATCCAGCTATTTATTCATGGGTAGTTTCCCTTGCCACAAGTATCCACGAACAGGGGTTTTAGGCGTGCATGTAGCAAAGTGACGTGGCTTGCGTGGGCTTGCTCCATCACTGTGTTACTCTCTCTCTCTCTCTCTCTCTCTCTCTCTCTCTCTCTCTCTCTCTCTCTCTCTCTCTCTCTCTCTCTCTCTCTCTCTCTCTTTTTTTTTTTTTAACATATTGTTTGTGGGTGGTTGGCGGGTGCTTTGGTGTGGTTTGGTCTTTCTTTCCTATCAAACATCTATCGTCCTTTTCCCCTTCTTCTTTTTTTATGTTTGTTACTCTCTTGTAACACCTCTTATCTTCTGGCGCTCATATGACCTTATGCAGTTGCGAGTGCTGTAAAACGTCTACTAAAACTAAACTAAAAACACATTGTTGACGAGCCTTTGTCCCTGCTATAACCGATTGGGCTCTGATGAGGCCCTGTTATTGCCGATAACGTTTAATAGAGACAAAGAGTAGGAAAAAACGGATTACCGGATCCCTGTTATTACCGGGCCTTATATATGGTTTCCACTGTATTTGTTTCCTGCACTGGCTGGCCATTATTATGTCCATGTGCACTTCTTCAATTAAACAAACACACAACGCATAGATAAAGAATTTAGATTTTTTTTAAGGGTTTGAGTACGGATATCTTTTTTTGTTTCGGGAAAATATGTACATGTATTCTCCCTTTTCTAGTATGACTACTGGCTACTCACCACTCACCATAGATTAGGTGGTTGATGGATGCTCTGCTGATATGATTTACTCATTCTCTCCTATTAAACATCTTTCGTCATTATTTCTCTTTCTTCTTTTCTGTATTTGTTAACTCTCTGGTAATACGGTACCTCTAATATTTGGCCAAAACTGGATTATCACAAAAGACTTGAGAACACCTGTGAATTTCAGTTTTAAATGGAGGCATAATCCTCCTAGATCCGAGTGATTTGTTGGATCTAGATTAGGGCAATGTGTTGAGACTTGGGTTGGACTTACTTTCACCTCATTCGGCATTCAGTAAACTAGGCCTAGCTCTAATTCTACTACATGTACTGTTTTTCTCATTCAGTTTATAATTTTAGCCTAGTTTGTTTTTGTTTGTTTTTGTATCTCTGCTTAACAACAGCATACAGTGGCCCAAATAAGGTCACCTAAATATTTTAGTTTATTCCTTGGTTTATCCGTTATTTCCGCAATATATTTAACATTGCTCTTATAATCTATATTTATAATTAACTTCTTTCAGTAATAAGAAACCAGAATCATATAAAGATCTATTAATACTGTGGGGGAATAAAAAATCTACCATGGTTTCTGACAGGGAGGGAGTGCTCTAGTCTGTCCTCAGAGAAATTCGCGCGCGCAACCCGCAAGTTGCGCGCGCAACTTTTGCCCTCAGCGCAACTTTTGGGCAACTTTTACCATTTTCATGAATTCGCGAATTTTAGCCAATTTCTCGCAAAATTTGGGAAAATAATAATAAATTGTCATTAAAAACATCGAAATGTTCTTCCAGGACTAAAAATAACGACGCCAAGGGGGACAATTCGCTCCTTTGCACTACGGGGTGCCCGCCGCCGCTGCCCAGTGACCCGGGCCGGGTCAGGAGTCAGGTCGGGTCGGG